GTGTTTTGGACTTATAATGTGGGAGATCTGAACCTGGGTCCTGCGGTAAGGGCGCTTGATTTGTTTTTACATGTACTCCTTCTCTGGGCCTTCAGTGAAGGCGATACTTCTTTTCACTAGTTTGGTTTGGCTTCTTATTGCCTTGATCTGTGCAAGTAGATTGGTTGATACTCAGTGAGGTGGGGCTCACCTATCCAAAAGGAGGTGCTTAAGGAGGCCCACCTCTTTACAATCTCCTTTGAGAGCCTCTTTTAGTGATTAATTATTATCATTTGAATTACAATCACATCTAGAGCAGAGGTCCCCAAAGTGTGGGGCACCCCCCCCCCCAAGGGCATGGAGGACTGTCCAGGGCACATGGCAGGGCCCGGGCCAGGCCCTACAGTGGTGGGGAGGGAATGCCCCCCAGCCCCTTACCGCCCCCAGCTCTGCTCCGGTCTGGCCCCCAGCCACATCCCTGGCTCCCAGCCCTGTGCACGCTTGGCCCCATCCCCAGCCTCAGCCGCTGGCCGTGGCTCCGTTTCTGGCCCAGGGCCAAGGCTGGTGGCAAGGCTGGGAGTGGAGTTGCACCTGGCTGCGGGCCAGCCGGTCCCCACCACAAGCCAGCTGTGGCTCCACTCCCACCCCCACTCCAGCCGCAGTCCCTGGCTGCGGTCCTGGTCCCAGACCCACCCCCAGTTGCGGCCCTACTCTCAGCCCCCTAACTCCTGTCTAGCTCGGGGAGGCTGGGGAGTCACAGATAGGGTAAGGGGGGGCACTCAACCCTCAAAAGTTTGGGGACGCTGACTCAGAGATTCCTAGGCTACCCCTTTTCATTGCATTAGATACAAACTACTTTTGCTTATCTGTGAAACAAGATACAGACTACTTTTGCTTATAACATCATAGTCCCTCCACCTTTATCTTCTCTTGTATCTTTTTCTTATATTGCTCCACTCCCACTTTCTGATTGCTGACGCCATCCTCTATCACCTGTCATCTGGTTTTCTCTTATGTATCTTTCTCATTGATTTCACACCCATTTTCCAATTTATAAAGATCATTCTGAATTCAAATCCTGTACTCCAAAGTGAATCTAACCCCTCCTAGCTTAGTGTCCTCTACAAATATTGTAAGCATAATCTCCTCTCCATCATTTAAGTCATAAATGAAAATATTGAATAGTACCAAACCTAGGACAGAACCCTGCAGGACCCCACTTGGTACATTCTCCCAGTTTCACATTGAACGATGGGTAACTATTCTTTAAGAACAATCTTCCAATCAGTTATGCATCCACCTTACAGTAACTTCACCTAGACCATATTGCTTATGAGAATGTCATGTGGGACTGTGTCAAAAGCCTTACTGAAGTCCAGATATATCACTTCTGCTGCTTCTGCTCTACACACTAGGCTAGCTACACTGTCAAAGAAGGAAACTAGATTGGTTTGACATGATTTGTTCTTGACAAATTTATGTTGTGTATCACCTTATTATCCTCTAGGTTTGAGCAGATTAAACAATAAATCTGTTTCAATATCTTTCTGGGTATGAAAGTTAGGCTGAGTGGTCTAAAATTCAGGAGGTCCTCCTCTTTCCTGTTTTTGAAGATAGGAACTATGTTTGCCTTTCTCAAGTGGTCTGGGACCTTAGCTGTCCTCCATGAATTTTTGAAGATAACCACTAATGGTTGAGAGATTGCTTTGGCTAGTTTCTTAAGTACCCTAGCGAGAATTTCATCAAGTCCTGCTGACTTGAAACTGTGATGGCAGGATCATGTTGCGATAACAATGTGTGTGCTGCAGCTTTGTCCAGTAGTTGCCTCAAGGGTTCACACACATTTGAGAGGCTTGGAAAATGTTTTTTCAGAAAGTTCACAAATCCTAAGGGCTTGTCTACACTGGCAATTTACAGTGCTGCAACTTTCTCGCCCAGAGGTGTGAAAAAACACCCCCCTGAGCACAGCAAGTTTCAGCGCTGTAAAGTGCCAGAATAGACAGTGCACTAGTGCTGGAGGTGGGTTTTTTTGAGAGCTGGGAGAGCTCTCTCCCGGCACTCTGCCGCGACTACACGAGCCATGTTAAAGCGCTGCTGCGGCAGCGCTTTAGCATTGCCGGTGTAGACTAGCCCTAAGTCTCTGAACTGATTTAACATCTTTAGGTGTTGGCACCTACTGTATTGCTCTTTCCTTTTGTTGTAGCCTTTGCGAGGTCAGCAAATGTCCCAAGAAGGATACTACAGTGAATTGCAATTTCATATTGGATTTATTCAATTTCAGATACTTCCCCGGCACTTTCTAGTAGACAAGCGAGGTTCTGGTCATGATTACCACAGCTTCTGCCACGCTGTGTCCACGTTGGTATGCTAGAATATCATCAGCTGTGATACTGATCTCTGAGAGTCCTGTTGGTATGTATTGCTAACAACGTTGATTATTTTCCTGCTGGAGGTTGGATCCCAAGAGGCATTCTCTTTCATCTGTATCTACCTGCTGGTGTCCAATATGCAGAGAAATACCAGTTTTCTTTATCCAGTACTGCTACAGGGATGCTACACTGCATTGGCTGCTCTGGATAGGTTGTTTATTTTGCTTGTGTGTCTATTTTGTGAAATGTTTGTCCCAGGAGGAGTGTCAGTAATTCCAGGAACTAACTTTTAGCTGAAAACAGGGTTTCCTGTATTGTATGTTCTACCTCAAATTTCAGCCTGTATACTTTTCCTTGGTATTCTTTTTGTAATTTACACTGTCTTAGTGGCATTGCCATCATATAATTTTAATTTGACTTTTCTTGGTTGCGGTTTTGATTTTTTCTCCTGCATAATGATGAGGAATTCTTTGTAGCTTAGCATATTCACTAATGGCCCACTGTGTATTTGGCTTTCAGTATCCTATTTGTGTGCTGCTGTCTTGTCTTTGCATGGGGTGCTAGTCTGAGCATTATAAACCATTTATTTTTTGCTGGTTTGCAGTGCATTAATGTCATACGTGCAAAATCTGATGCTCGGTCATTGATTCCTTGATATGGTGCAATTTTTTTTCTTTGATTTTCTCATCAGGAAGCTTTGGCATAACAATTTCTCTTGCCACAATTATTGTATATGACCCCCCCTTATGTAGGGCATTTTTCCATATTCATGTTTTTCTCTACAGTTTTTTGCCTCCCCCCACTCCCCGGTCTTCCTTTGTGTTTTGTTTGTCTCCTCTACTTTGTATTTGTACATTTGCTTTTGCATGAATGTTGGTATGTTTCTTTGTGTTTTACTACTTTCCCTGTGCTGCTTGGTAAATTATGTGTGTGTCTGCTCCACTTATTCTCGGCATTTGGATATGAGTTTGTTCACTAGCTTTGCACACATCTATAGCTCTTGGTAGAGTTATTGAGGGCTTTCTAGGCATTCACATTCAAGCTTCTGTATCTTTCATCCCTATTACTAATCTATCCCAAATTTGTTCATCTTTTAATCTTTGATAATCAGATGAGTCAACCGTTGTCCAGTAGCCTGGCAATTTACTGATCTATTGTTTCTCCAGATTCTTGATCACAATTGTTGAAGATACTTTTCATATACAACATTGTTTGTGGGTTGAAAACTCTTTTGGGGGCACCTCTAGGATTTTACACAGGTCTTCCTGGTCTGCTGCTGATGTATCTAGATACTGTTGGAGCATATGTCAGCCTTTGTCCATTACAATGTACAGTGTGGCTGCTGGCTGTTTTTTTTTGTTTTGTTTCCATGTTGCTACTCTGTAGTTTTTTCATTGTGGCCTAAAGAATGTCCAATTGCTAAACACATCTCCTTTACGTCCATCAGCTCAGGGACATGAATCTGGTATGCTGCTACGATTATTGTTTAATTTGTGTGGTTTTGTTTAGTTGGCTTTTTTGTTTCTGATTTCCTGTGCCTGTAGGCGCCGACTCACTTCTGACTCCATATTCAGTGTTGAAGCATAACAGAGAGAAAGCCAAAACACTGCAATATTCAGGTTTGAATCCTTCCTCCACACATACAGTCCTCTCTCATCAATCACTTTCGGAAAGTAAAATTCTCTACATTCTTAGAAATTATCATATACATACAATATGATAGTATATTTAACATCCCTTATTGGGAAGTTACCTATTGTAACACTCTCTTTACAAATTATAGTTTCATTATATAGTAGTTATAATTATAGTTGCTATTATCACACTGATATTGACACTTCTTCCCAAAATAGCTTTACAGGACATCTGGAATAACTCTGATTCCTCTTTCTTATCCTCTCACTATAATTCCCTTAGGGTAATGGAGAACCAGTTTCCACACTGGAACTTACATTTCATTTGTCAGCTTGTGTAGGACTTAACCTCCATCTAACATGTAAACCACTATCCCAATGGAGGGTCTTCTTTTCCCAAACAAGGAGGTTTTTCTCACCGACTCTTCATTAAATCAGTCAATACTCACTAGCTGTCTTGTTCTGTCAAGCCTTCCAGATACACTCTAAGCATCTGGTCCAGCACTTGAATTTGTGCTAACAGAAGACATCGATTCCCTTCTGTATATATGAATTGAAATACAAACTTTATATTTTTTCTTCTTTGTACGATGCTTTTCTCTGCGCTTAAAGTGGTCTGAAAAGTGTGGGTGAGATCTCATTACCCCATCTGCCCATTCTTCTGTCCAGCAATTAATTCTGTCACAAACTCCAAATCAATCCTGTCCCCCAAGTCCTCACACATCAGTTGTGACCCCACATTTGTTCTGCCTCTCCTGCAGCTCCTGGGGTTCTTTACTCCTCTCCTCAGGCCTGGGAAGGGGCTTCAGGGGTTCTTCACCCCACTCTGCCCCTTCCCAGGCTAGGTGTGTTAGAGAGGAAGGAGGAGCAGAGGAGCCATCTCATTGCTCACTGGGAGAAGGGAGTGGCACCACCCTGGGCTGCTAGGTGTGGTTGGCTGCTCTTCTCAGCAGCAAGTGGGGAAAACAGCCAAATTCATTGGATAGGTGATTTTGGCCCTGCTGGAATCATTACTTACTTATAATCCTGCTTCTCTCAAGGTGTTGTGATGAATCTGTGAGCTCCTATAGGGCAATGTTAACTTCCAGCACAACATCCTGCCACCGGACTCCATACTTCATCCAGCACGGGGAAGGGAGGGGATCTGGCTCAGGAGGGAGCCAGAGGATGCATTGAGCAGGAGCAGTAGGTCAGAGGCAGTCTGTGGAGAGAAGACATGAGCTGGGAGAGAACGGATAATCAGCAGCCTATTGCAGGCAAGGGGGCTGTGCTAGCCCCCTTGATAATTGAATACTTGAGAATACCTACAAATGGGGTTGCAAGACTGAAAGACTGAACTCTGACTGGGGGACTGCAGGCCAGTGCGTGATTACTTCCTTCAGGGAGTGTCCCTGGTGCTGGGCATGAGGAGCTCTGCTTTCATATCATGGGATTGGGAACTATTGTGTGTTGGGTTTTTGTCTTTTTCTTGGATAAACATTAAAACAAACATACCGAGGATTGGATTGTTTATAGTGGGCAGCCCCACCAAGGCAATCCTTTGTTGTTCATGAGACTTTGAGTGTATCTCACCATGGGCTGGAACCTTGAGAGTCTAATGCTTATAGCACTTGCTTCTGAGCATGTTCTACACCCAACATGCTACCAGACATCAAGGAGCCTTACAATTGAGTGCTTATATAGCGCTTGTCATGATGTGCTTTACTAAGGAGATCAGTATCATCATCCCCATTTTGCAGATGGGGAAGTTCACACACGGTGTACTAAAGTGACTTGCCGAAAGTCACCTAGCAGGCAGTGGCCAAGCCAGTAATGGAACTGAGGTCTACTGAGTCCCAGTCTAGTGCTTTATCTACTGAGCTAGAGTAGGGGAAAAGGGATGTGTACATGGACCTGTATGCCAGTGCCTCAACCTTCCCTCCCCCATCAGGGAGACAGGAGGGGAGTGTCCCTTAGAGAGTATTGTAGAGAAAACTCTCTTAAACTCACTAGTGAAAGCAGGAGGCAAAGTCCCCTTGGTTGGATTAACATGCACGGTATCTTCAGCCAGTGATAAACCGCAGATCATTCACAGACAGGCACAGAGGGGGCAAAACGGACCTAACTCCCGTTCATTCAGCCCCTGCCAAGGCCGCCTGGCCCTGCAGGTGGGGACACGCCTGCCAATCTCTCTTCCCCTTGGACAGCAGCAGGGAACTAGATGACGTTGCCCTTTTAAGAGCAGCCCTGTCGTGTCAGGCCTGTGACGTCAGAGAGCGCAGAGCCCTAGTCCCTGCTGCCTCTGTTATTGCAGCCAAAGGCTGGGAGTAGCAGCAGCGACAAGGGCAGCTCTGGCTGTGCGAGGGGCTTCGCGCAGTGCAGCTTCCCGGGTGCGTGCGGGGAGAGCGCTGGAGCCCCTTCCGCAGAGCCTGGCCATGCACAGGGATTCAGCCGCCGCCTCCACCAGCAGGAACTTTCCTGGCAGGAGCCTAATGGCTGCGAAGGGGGAAATCTAAGAACAAAGTCTTCGCCTCCAGCCCAGGCGCCGGGGAGAGGGAGATCCGGCAGCAATGAGCCCAGGGGCTGCTTGGCACTGATGTCTCCGTGCCTCCCCCCGGCGGGAGGACTGAGAATCCCTGGCTTACCTTCCTGCTCCTCCCCTGGGGCACAGCCGAGCGAGTGAGCGAGGCAGGGGCGGCAGAGGGGCAGCGGCTCCCCCGGGGGTGCTTTGAAACTGACTTCGAAACTTCCACGGGGCCAGGGCTCCCCGGCCCGCCGGTCGCACCCCGCCGCCTCCCCACCCGCCGGCGTTCCCACGGAGAGCCCGTTTGGCCGCGGGTTTGGGGGAGTGTGTGAATTTTTAAACTCTCCCCTGCCGGTGTCATGGCGGTGAAAGGGGCTGCGGCAGGTACCGGAATGTTGTTAGTAACAGCCAACGTTGGATCCCTCTTTGATGATGTAAGTAGCGCGGCTGTGGGGTGTCTGCACACCGGCGGGGAAGGAGGGAGGCGGGAGCCCAGGTTGTCTCTGCCGGGGGCGTTCCTGGGTCCCAGCTCGCCCGTGCGGCGCCAGGTCCCCTGAGCCCTTGGCCGGGCTGCGCGGAGGTTGCCGGCTGTGTGTGTGTCTCTGGGGCGGCGGAGGTCCCGATGCATCTCCCCAGAGTGGCTCAGAAGAACGAGCAGGATCCCAGGCAGCACTTCCTTGGTGGGTGGGTTTTGCCCGGTCCTAGTGCCCTGCCGCCCGCCGGTGAAGGGGGCAGGGGCTCAGAGCGCCCCCAGCCCGAGCCTGGGGGCGGGCTCTGCACTGGCAGTACCGGCGCTAGGGCACTGCGGGGCGGGCGCAGACCACTTGCAAGGTTCGTGCTCGTCCTCTGAGCCACTCCGGCGGCGGGAGGGGCTTGGGGAAAGGGCTTTGGCTCCAGCTGCCTCACCGGTGCGGGGACATCATCTCACCGTCACCGCTCCCAGCGCGTCTGGGCAGCTCTCACTGGCGGGTGGCGGCGGGTCCCGCACGTACAGCCGGGCCGGGGTCGGTCCTGCCTGCCGGGCGTGGGAAGCGACTGCCTCCGTGCTGCTGCAGCCACCGCTTCCCCGCACGCCCTGCCTCGGGGCTGGGGAAGCCTCCCAGCCTCCGCGCGGCTCCGCTGTTCCCCTCCCTCCCCGTTCCCGGCAGCGTGCCGCAAATATGTGCAGCAGCACCAGGCTGGCAGTGAGGGGCTAGCTAGCCTCCTGCCTCCCCACCCCACCCCGCCCTCCCTGCCTGAAGCAGGGCCCTTCCTTGCCAGGGAGTGGGGGAAGGATTCACTGCTTCCCATGCATCCTCCATTCCTAGATAGAAAACTGCTACGTCTGCCTCTGAAGACCCCTGATAGGCACATCCACCGCCCCAAGGCTTGCTCGTTGTGGAAAGTTTGTTTATCAGCCGGTTAGCAACAGTGTGTCATGTTCACTCTGTGCCCTGGTGACTTTGTTGTGTTTTTTCTTGTTTATACATGCTCCCTGAGGACTGTATAAACGAAGTAGACTTCCAAATCTGAAATGCCAGGGAAAAGGTGGTAGCTGTCCAGTAGGGCCTTGCTGTTGGAGAAACTGTTTCAGTATGAAAGGAATATAGGCAAGAGTGTGTTAGTGCTTTTTAATTAGAAACTACTAATCGGAGATTGACTTTTGTTTAAAGGATTAGCCATGCTCATGTGCACTCACTCCTCTACACTTAAGCCTTCAGAGAGCTCTGTGCAACTCAGTGAAACTGCTGTCAAGCAAAAGTAGTTTTTCTTTTGATATCTTTTAGAATCTCTCTAATTATTCATATATTTTTAAAACCAGAAGGGCTTGGAGTGATATCAGTCCTTAGTTGCATCTGAAGAAATGGGTTTTTTACCCACAAAAGCTTATGGCCAAATATATCTGTTAGTCTTTAAGGTGCCACTGGACTCCTTGTTGTTTTTGTGGATACAGACTAACACAGTTACCCCCTGATATCAGTCCTTAGGTTTTCTGTGTCCTACAGTCATTAAACTGAAAATTAGACTTTACAAAATGTCACCTATGGTGATGATCATGTATGATAAATCAGTTTTTATTTAGCTAATATAAGTATTTACTAAAATACAAAAATAAGGTGTTATACTTTTCCATTAAATTTGACTACTTATTCATTTTTAAATGCCCTTTTCCCCAGCGTTAGTGTATTTTATGCCAGCTGTTTTGTTCTCCTACCAGTAAATTTGTAAGTTGAATATTTGCTGAAGGTGGAGTTTTTGTTTCTTTGGAGGCCTTAGTTAAAATGTCAAGATAGCCGAAGTAATTTAGTCTGCAGCAAAATGCTTTTTTGGAATATTATTTATACTCTAAGTTTTCATTTTTTCTTAACATATCAAGCGGTATATCATGATCTCAGTTAGATGATACAATTTCTTAGCTGTGGTTCTGAAGCCTCAGAAATAAAACCTTACATTGCTTTCATTCTCACAGGAAAAAAATAAATTCTATTGCATTCCTTCCAGTAATTTCAAAAATGCTGCAACGCAGCTGTACTCCCCCTCCCAAATATATTGTTACATAGTGACATGAAAATATGATGCTTTAATTTTTGTTTAGCGAAATATATTATTCACAGAAATATTTTATCCAGAGGAAAAATATTATTGTAACACTTCACATGTCTAGGATTAAAGCAAAGAGGAGAAATTTTGTTTGTAAATTGGCAAAAGTTAGTTATCAAAATGCATAACAGCCAGGACTGATCCTGCAAGGACTTGCATGTATGGGGTGAATTCTGGTCCCTCTGAAGTCAATGGCAAAGCTCCCGTTGACTTTTTAGTGAAACCAGGCTTTCACCCATGGTGAATGGAGTACTCCCATTGCCTCACAGTTCTTAAAATCGAGAACATATGTAAGTCGTTGTAGGATTGGGGCCCAAGATTCTATTAGCTGAAGATTGTAGCCAAGTGAACTAACATTAGATTTGCCTCATGTTCATGTGTTATACGCAAATCATTGTTTAAAGGTACCTCAGTGAGCAAGTTCCAGTTTTTTGTAGTTGTCATAATTAAAGCAAGTGGGATTCACCATTCATGGGACACTGATAGATGCCTGCTAAAGACACCGTTAGTCTTCTTTAACTAATTTTATTAAAAAACACAGTTTGAATTCAGCCTAAATTTATTTTAAAATGTACATGGAATATGTACAAATTATGGCTTTGATCCTTCATACTTTTACTCAGGTGAATAACTTTATGTAGATGGGTAGTCTCATTGAGTTCAATACAATTATAAATGTGTATGTGTTTGCAGGACCAGAGCCTGAAGTGACAAAGTAATTAGGCTCCGCATGCTTTCTCTCTTCAAAAAAAATACATGCTAGTGTGTTAGTTTAGAATGTGTTGTGTAAGTTCTCCTATGGCTGGTAGGGATTTTATCTCTGACTTTTGAGCACTGTCATTTAGGTAATGCATGTCTTGAGATTTAGTGACTGCCTGGAAGCTCTTAATTTGTGTTGTAGGAGGTGTTAAAATTCTTAGAGGAACTGAAGCATTTTTATTATTCATTGCAATGTACATGACCCCAAAAAGGAATACGTTGGTTATTCTCTTAAAATGAAAACAAAAAGAGTTTTTACAACAAGAAGAAGAAAGGGTGTTTTTGGATATGTCAACTTTAAGGTGGGCAATAAAAAGACTGGCCTGAAGTTTCTTGATTTCTGGTTTGTTGCTGTTGGAATTGTGCCTAGAAATTGACCAGTCAGGTTTCTGGAATTGTGTCAGTTTCATTAAAGTATGATGAAGTTGAAATTAGACTGGTTTGTGGTTTTAAGCTTTTAGGTTCCCTATTTGAGTTAGCAGACGACTGCTTTTGATTGCTGGGATTTTCTTATTCGGGAAAAGAATAAGAATCTGTTCTGTGGAAGAACCTGTGACATGAACTGATTGCACTAGCAAATAAGTACTTATTTTTGGTAGATTTCACCAATTTAATATATATTGACTTCAAGATTTTTGCCTGAAAAATGCTTTGCAGTGCCCATATTTCTTTTATTCCAAGTTTTTAATTTTTACATTAAATCTAACTCATCTCTGTACACTTTATTATGATATTGCTGGGCCTCAAAATGTAGTGTCATTCATTTTTAATGATGCAACATTGAAATTGGTGGTGGGCTGGAGGCTTGAATCTGAATATTCTATGCAACACTGTACTGGGTTCTTTGGCTCATTGGTGTGTAATTCATCCTTGTGCAAGGCTTTACACACTTTAAACCCCATATTAAGGTTGCCCAAGGGAAACTGCACTCAGAGGCCTTGAAGCCCTGTGTGCTGCCCTTTTGAAACTAGCCATGAATGAGGGCAAGCTGGGGGGAGGGTCTAGGAGATCTACAGTTATCTGGATCTGCTGGCCCAGGCTGCATCAAGGTGTTGTGGCTGCTCTTCCAGCCTTTAGACTAAAAGGTGTGTGATTTCTCTTCCCTCTGTATCACCCAAATAAACTGTGATTACACAGGCATTATGGTAAATAACTTTCTCTAGTTTGTAGTGTTGATGTTGCTGTGCAGCAAAAATATGACTCGCACTCCAAATAAGGTTATTAAGATTGCTGCTGCTTACTTGGCTGCTATACATTTATTTAGTACTGTACCTGAAAATATTCCCCATTTGAAACCAACTTTTCATAGTGGAGCAGATTAAAATCTTTTTGCATGGTAGATAGGTCATGCCACCCAACTGAAACTTTCTTAATCTCAGATTAGTAGTATTGCTATTTTGGTTACCATTTTAGTAATGAATGAGAATCAGTATCTTGTGCCCTGGTATTGGGGAAAGTAACTTCTCATAACTTACTGATTTGCTCCTTTCAGTCATTTGCCCCATTTATAGCAGATTATTCATGAATGTGAGTTAGTATTGCTGGGTTTAACAGTCATGAGTGACTGAATTGGGTTTCTTTACCTCTCCTTGCCCCCAGTCATTGGGACTATTTCATTAGAAGCATAAATGCAATATTTCTGAGATTTACAAATATATTTTACAGATATGTTGACGCATACAACTTGCTTTATGTTCTTATATACTGTACTTAATCATTTAACACAAGTCTCACTGTATAAACATTTCCTGTTTTTATCACAGTATACAGTTGCTGACAACAGAAGATAGGAGTTCAGGTTACCTGTGGGCTAGCTACTGCTTTTTTTTTTTCTTTTTCCCCCTTTGCTTTTTCTGCTGCACTTACACGACTTCACATCTACCTGACAATGGATAGACCGTGTTTGTAGTAGCTAAGAAATTCATTTGACTGGCACATGTGTGTCTATTGTGCATAGTTTTGATTACATTAAAATTATAGTTAATATGCTTGCATCAGCTTTAGTGGTGTGTGTTTTTTGTCTAGGTTATTTTAGCACACTATTAAAAGAAAACACCTGTAGCTGATATGCTGAATAGCCAGATTCTACTTGTGAAGAGTTTTCACTAAAACATACAAACCATCAACTTCCATTACAAAAACAAAACAGTTTAGGACTTTAAGGTCTGCAGTTTAGTAAGATCCAGTGATGACCTACTTTCCTCCTCCCATCCTAGCTTTCTGCAGTCTGTTCAATTAATTAAGTAGTAATAAATTACTTATTGCTGTTGCTTTTCATTTTCTTTAGAATAAGAGTTAGGAGCCCATCAGTTGTGTGCGATGAGATGGTGGTTGGGAAAATGGGTGTTTTTATTTAGGAAACATTTCAAATGTTAATCTTCCCCAGAAGTGTGTGAGGAAGAGTGACTTTGCTCAGCAGGGTCTCTTTGCAGTGTTGGGACCTTAGTTTCGATTGTTAGTGTGTAGCTGGGCAATAGTGTTTGACTTTCATGCAAGATATTCCTGCTTGCAGTAATCAATTTCTTAATATATTATTGTCAATGAATGCAGCAGACTGGCTCACATGTATACAAGCACAAGTCATACCTCTCTTTTTGTTTAGGCAGATACCATCACCCACTCCCACCCAATGTAGGCAGACAACCACTTCTCTTCCCCCTCTTTCAGGTAGACAGATCAGATGGACCTTGGGATTAGGGGTGGAGAAAGATGAAACTTTAAGTTAGGTCACAATTTGGGCCTAACTAAAATTCCATCATCAACACAAATAATGTATTTAAACAAAAATACTGGTTCTTAGTCCTGGGGGTGGCGC